CACTCACCAAATAAATGTTTTCCCCTCGTAGAGCAAATACAGTGAGTGTAACAGCCTCATGCTCGAGCTATAGCTGGAGAAAAACAAGTCTGGACACACTTTTGAATTTGGCGCACTGCCATTGGTTATACAGTGGTACCTCGACTTATGAAATTTTCAAGGTATGAAATCCCATTGGCTAAGAAGGACCTCGACCGAATGTGTATGTGTGTACACAGATAATAACACGGATCACGAAGCTGATGTTTGCCTTGGACATTTTCGTAAGATTGTTAAAAGCCGACAAAAGCAAACGTCCTTGGATCGGTTCTTTCCAAAACGCAGGGCAAACGCCACGTCTGAGAGAGAACATGAACCAAAGAGGGCAAAAAACGATGAGAATGTAGTTAAAAGTTAAATGACAATCATTTTTGTTCTTTATTCTTTGTTTTTTTTACATTATGCACAACTCTCATTTATTGTGCAATAATCTAATTGTAACACGTATTTGTTACATATTTTGATGAGTTTTTATGCTTTAGAAAACATTTATGTCTGAATTTTAGGGGAGGCTGGGAACGGATTAGGGCATTTACATGGAAAACACGTCTCTACTTACAACATTTTCTAATTCAGAAATTTCTTCTAGAACCAATTTTAATTTCGGAAGTAGCGGTACCACTGTATCCGCCTCACATGGTTTATGGATGCCATGTTGCAAGTTTTGGGCCTTTTTATTTTTTTCCCAATGTTCTTTTGATTTGGGAAATCTGTACAAAAATAGTCTTTTTCAACATGTGCCTTTCCTAGTCGTTTGACTTGCCGCTAGAAGAATGTTTTGTCCTTTCTTTTGATTCAGCGACGGAATTTGGCCAAAATACAGTGTTCTCAAAGTTCAAAGATAGATGGGGTTTTAAACACACTATTCTGTGGTTTATGTATTCCTCTCGGTGGCCATGGTGGAAAGGATCACACATCTGTCCAAGGTCTAAAACGCATTTGTTATAATCACCGGCGATGGGAGAAAAGACAATAGATGGGGGAAATTCTGTCCATGCCTTCGTGCAGAGAGATGGAGAGCTTCCATCAGGCCCGTATGTCTTATTATTGACAGCGTTGCTGAAAATACAGGGTCCGCTGAGACGTGACATTTGACAGAGACGCGGCTAGATAGCAAAGCCAACAAAGGGCAGGACAAAGGCCGGATCCGTTCCATGATAATGCAGCTCCTGCTCATGAATATGGCAACGTTGCCGGTTGTAAAAGGTGTTAGTGGGCCCGCATATCTATCCAGCTTTGTTTGTATATATGCCCACAAGACCTCCTATAGGCAATGTATGCGTGTCCTCACATGTCAACTCACTCAGTTGCATGTGTATGCATGACGATCGCAAAGCCCGGCGGTGTTAAGGCATTTCGCTGTCTCTATCTGCATGTGCCGGGGCTCCCCAGCGGGGCTGAAAAGTCAATCAACAAGTCTGTCAGGGGAGCCCGACACGCTCTGTGCGCAGGGATCAATGCCCTCCGCGCAACCCTCGCGGGACGCACGCTTCGCGGTGGGGGGGGGGGGCATCGGGATCCATGCAAAGCTGTTTAAATCCCTTGCGCCGCTTTGACAGCTGACTGAAGGGTACGGGGTTTTTTGCGTCCAGTGTGTCTTTTGAGTGGGGTCTCACAGGCTCGTTTGCAGCATGTGGATGATGTCAGCCATTTCTGCTCTTAGGAGCAAATAGTGTTTGAATGTACAGTTGTATTTATCGCTACCCGGCAGCGGTGCAAACCTTTTTGTTCTGAAGTGGGCAGATGGATGACGTCATGTGCCGAGGTGACAAAAAGTGAATGTGTGTCGTTTATTTGAATTCGATTTTTTTTTTTTAATTTAATCTGTTTCATAACTATTTACAATAAATCAAACAATTATTTTATGAGCTAAATGGATTGAAGGAACTTGAACAAACCAAATTTCAGGAAACAACGGCTAACTTTAATGCAACAAATATGACGGTACTCTTGATCACGTCAATTTTTGGAGACCCACATTCATGAAGAGAGTTTGTGGCCGGTTGCCAGGACTTTTCAGACTCTCGTATAACAGCTGGGATTTTAGGTGCCATTTGCCTATCCTACCAGCGCTGCGTCTGAACTCACAGAATTCACAATTCACCCAAAATCTCTTGAGTTTTACGTCACATCACATTACTCCACCGCTACATTGCCAGGGCAGTTTCTAAATATTTCATAACAGTGGTGGTGACCCTGTACAAGGTTACTTCTTCTCCTATAATTTAATTTCAGGAAAATAGTTTTTAAAACCAGACATATCCGATGAAGCAATGGCTACCCCTTTTTCCCCCCTCCTCTTTCTCTCTCTCACTCTCTCTCCTCGGTCTGCATCGCTTCTGATCACAAGCGGCTTCATTGAATCTCTGCTGGGAATTTTTGTAATTTATTTTTCAAAGGTCCTCTCGCTTTAAGTGGGAATCCATCTGCCCTGAATTTACTCTCCCGGTGACCTCGCAACCCTGACCTGTCAGTGCAGCGTTCCTTTCTAGACTGAAAGCCATATTGTTGTCAACTGAAAAAAAAGGACATAAATACTCGCTAATATTCCAAGTTTCGTTGGAGGGGAACCAAGAGTTGCAGTAAATCAAACGGCAAGCATACGAAGAGTCCCACCACTGTGCCGCTGCTGCGTGTGTGAGCTCTCTATTAGTGGAGGAGAGTGTGTTTTTGTTTGACTCTCCACTCAATGAGGGAGGGTGGGCTTGCTCTCTTTTTTTACGCACTATCCACACTGGCCGGTCCTTTTCCTCAGCCGTGTTACCACAGACCTCATTCTCTCTTCCTCACCGGTTCCTGTGGCCTCCCAGGCCTTCCTTTAGCTGTCAAGACATAAGTCTGCCGAGGGACTGCGATGACGGTGAAGGGGGTGGGCTGGGGTGGGGAGGTGCTTGCTGGATGTTTGGAGGTGTACGGTGGGTATCGTGTTCGCTCTCTCTTTCCTACTACAGATTTATGGGGGCTCGGGCCTTCTCTAAATATTTGGCTTTCCCCCTGTAGTACGGGAGATTGATGGCCTTTGATGTAGGGGGGGCGCGGGGGTGTTTTGGGTTAGAGAAGAGTGGGAGCGTATATACGGATGGGTGAATTGAGTTTAGGGCAATTCAGGTGGGGCCTGCTGGGTGGTAATGTGCTGCGTAGAGTTGGAACAGTTGTGATGTGAATCGCCGCTTGAATGAATTAAGTGAAATACTTAGTGTGGTAAAGCGCAGCACATCCTAATGTGGCTGTAAGCAGCAAAGGGTTGATATGAGAACAATCGATCGGGTTGGACATTTGGTCACTCAACAATGGCGTCATTGCAGCATTGACCAAAAAAAACCCATAAAAATTCAGTGTTAAATTTTTCCTATAACCAATTTTAGGGCTTTATAAAAGCAGAGTGTACGGAGTAGTAAAAAAAATAAATAAATAAGACGAGCAACTATAATTCCCAAAAGGGAAAGCTCAGGAGTGGTGTCATTTCAGTATTGTCCTTTGTATGACAAAAAATGAGAATTTGGATGTGCTGTAAAGTTTTGACCCGAGGTATGTGCTTCCAAGCCACAAATGTTTTACTACTTAACATAAGAGGACGGTGGAAGAGCTGGACTGGGTACGATGTCACTCTTTCATAGTGACCAGCCGAGCTAAGCAGTTTGATGTGTCGTTTTATGATGTTAAATTGTTGAATATTTGAAAAATTAATGTATTCAGCTGTTTATATCCATGATTTGACAAAGAGGATATTTTCCAAGAGGATGGGCCAATTTTCACAGTCTCTGTAAAGAAAACAAAAGTATTGGTTAGCACATTGGCCGAATGGTTCGATTCTGGCGCCGGCCTTTCTGTGAGGAATTTGCATGTTCCCCCCCTGCCGATGTGGGTTTTCTCCGGGTACTCCGACTTCCTCCCACATTCGAAAAACATGCATGGCAGGTTGACTGGGCACTCCAAATTGTCCCTCGGTGCCATTGCGTGCAACAATGGTTGTTCGTCTCTGTGTGCCCTGCGATTGGCTGGCGACCAGTTCAGGGTGTACCCCGCTTACTTCCCGAAGACGGCTGGGATCGGCTCCAGCACACCCGCCACCCTTGTGAGGATAAGCGGATTAGAAAACGGATGAATGGATGGATGCCGTGGACTTTGATTCTCGGTAAAAACATTTTCAAAGTTTGCTTGGTCTCAGGAGAAATAAAGCAAATGCCAGATGTGGAATTTAATAATTTCTTGGATGTTTTTGTTTTTCCGATAAGCAAAGAGTGCAAAAATTGAAAATCTGAAAAAACGTTACGATGAAAATACAGTAATATAGTTTTGTTGTTAAAAAAATAAAACACATTTAAAATTATTGCACCACTCTGAACCACTTGATGTTAGCAATCGCTAAAAATGACTTGCTGGTCGTTTTTATGTTTATTCTTGAAGTGTGAAGTCGAACAGTCACGCAACACCACTTTCAAAGCACCAACCAACATAAAGCAGTGGAGACCCACGCAGTCAAGGAAGCTATGTCACTGCAAAATAAAACACTCCTCTTTGCCGACCTATCACCTAAACACAACGATGTTGAGAATACCGCCCCCCGAATTAGCTTAAAAAGCCACGGCAGTCTCGTTTTTTGCCCATTTCCCAGTTTAGCATGACAGCGCAGTGCATTTTTGTTAATGTGATCTTAAGTTTCTGTACTGGAAAATGTACTTTTTCTGAAGTAATACTGCAACACAGACTAAATTCTGTATGTGGTCTGTATTCCGTACATGCATCGTTGTCCAGGTTACTTGGTACAATCTGGCCAAGTGGACAATAAATTGTCAACATTTAGAAAGGAAGAAGAACTTAATGTACCCTGCCAAGTGAGCTAGCCTGACTGTATGCAGAGCAAAACACTGGCAGGAGGTTTGCCAAAAACCTGTTCCGCGGGGGATTTTGCCGGATAAACCTGAGCTGGGCTGCTAATAATAATTCTGTCCAGAGTCAATCAAAAGTTAGAAAAACATCTGTTGGAAAGCTACCTCTTAATCTCTCCAAATCTCCTTTTGTAAATAATGGGTCTCATATTCCCATATCTATTTCTCCGTCCAGCAAAAGTAGCATCATCTCATCTCGGGGGGTGTGTATGTATCCATGTTTGTATGCTTTTTGAATACACTCCTCCCTCTTGAAGCTATCCCCCCCCCCCACCCCAAAACAACTTAGCCTCAAATCACATTTAAATGTCAGTGTTGACCATGAGTTCAGCGGTGATACAAAGTTTCACACCAGTAGCTCCTCCACTCGCTCTACCCTGTGCGTCTCCTTTTCCACTCTTAGCTCAGTGTCAAGAGAGTAAGTAGTGGGGGCCCTACCTCAGCACCCTACTGAGTGCGGCAGTTTCCACTGCGCACAAGTGCCCGCCTGCATTTCAGCTTGTGTATTTATACGCATCATAAAATGTGTCAAACACATGCACGTGCGCTATGATAGTGCGCATAGAACGCATGGAACAGAACTGCTATTTATCACTGGCGGGAAGTCAGAGAGTACACATCCTTTGCACTTATCCTTTTTTTCATTTATGAATGTTTTATTTGAGCATTTGTTTATCCGATGTCATTTTACTTGTACAGTCATACCTCGGTTTTTGACCATAATCCGTTCCAGAAGGCTGTTCGAAAAGCGATTTGTTCGAAATCCGAAACTATTTTATTAGCCCATGATTAGGGGCTAATACACTATGCAGAAATAACATAAAAACAGTCAGATTTGCGTAAATCACAACAAACACATCTGCTCACAATGAACGCTATACGGGGACGCTTTAAGGAAGCCGAGAGGAGTCAAGTGGCGTATTCGGGTTTGCTCAGTTTGATCGAAAACCGGTTTTCGGTCGTAATCCGAGGCGTAAAAATCTTGAATTTTCTGGTCGAAAACCAATTTGATCGAGAACAGAGACGTTCGAAAACCTCGGTTTGACTGTACTTCCATTGAAAACTGACTGTCTTTTTCGAAAATGGGCTCCTAACTTCTTTCAGCCTGACCAGGTGGTGACACGATGTAAAAAAAGACGTAACAATAAAATCAACTGGGGTCGCGATCTTGACTAATTGAGATATTGCGAGCTTCGTCACAAAAACAAAGAGCTGCGACATGGAGGAAAGTGAGTGAGGGTGCATTGACGACAATCGTGCAACAGATCTTCATGATCCATTGTCTTATCACAGAGAATTGGTTGTGCCTTGCGCATGCGTCGTATTGTGCTAGCTTAAAAAACATGAGCTTCTGGTGTTCCCCAAAAAATCTGCATCTAATTTCCCAGACCACCTTGTGAATTTTTTTTTCGGTGTTTAGTTATTATGGCCTAATTTCGCTTGTTTTGTTAGTCAAGTCACAACAGTGGCAAAGCTTTTGGGTTCAAGAAGTTTTGAACGCCTGAGCCAGCGCTAGCTAGCACTTAGCTCTTCCACAACAGACACGCTTTCACGGCCACCAAACGGTTATTGTGTGTCATTAACAGTAACAATTCACTTGTACTTTTACTTCCGTACTTTAGTATATTTCGTACTGTACTCGTCTGTACTTAATTACTTAGTTGTGTCATCGCTTCTTCAATCGCCAGGGTTGTTGTTTTGTTTTTTTTTTTTAAACACAAATATCTGAGCACTATAGCCACTTCTGCTGTTTGATACAGATCTTACACACACACACACACACACACACACACACACACACATACACACACACACACACAGACACACACACACAGACACACACACACACACACACACCCACACACACACACACCCACCCACACACACACACACACACACACACACACACATGGTCTAGCCCTGGTTCCCATTTGCCTCCCTCCTCCCCAGACAGCCATTGCTCCAAAGCAGCGCCGTTTTCGTGTCATGGTCGGGGAAAAGAAAGATAGGAGCAGAGAGGTCACTTGGGTGACAAACGGTCAAATTCGCAGGAAACTCCCAAGAACATTCTTCCTCAAATTATGCTATTAGCTGCTTGGGGGGGGGGACAAAGAGTGAGAGAAAGATGGAGGAAGAGTGGAACAAAAACAGGCACAGATCGTATGTGTTGGGGTGGAAGGAGGGGTCTCGTCTTAAAACAACAGTAAAAGAAAGAGAAAGGAACTTTACTTTGTAGCCATTTGGCCTCCTGCTCTTGAGCGGAATGTGGTTTGGTGGCATTTACATGTTCATCGTGATTTATTGGAGTTGGCGTCTCCCTCTGTTTCAGTGCAGAGCACTCAGAGCCAGGAAAAGGTCCTAAGCCCAAGGAGACAGTAAGCCTGAAATATTCTCCTTCTCCTCCTGCACCTGTTCCCCACGCCGGGGGAATGACAGGCTGCGATTATGCGTGGAAGCGTCTCTGCCCGGATAGCCAGTGTGATCGTGTCAATCTGATAATGTTTTTTTTTCTTATGTTGCGGACGGACGACACAAGCAAGAGTGCTTGTATAGTGGATTATTTTTTTTTTTTGTCAGTGTTTACCCACTAGTTATTTGGCGGTAATTTTCCATTCAGTGGTCATGAATTTGGGAGTGACAGCAAAAAACAAAATAAATAAAAAATAAAAGCCTTTGTTAAGCTTTAGCTTATTTTAAGCTTTTCTAGCTAGCATGTAGTTATCCTCACACTGCCTTCGAGTTCCGTATTTGGCAAGTAGATCATACTATTTATTTTTGGAAAAGGAAATTGATGAAGAGACTATGACAAATTGAATGCTGGGTGAAAAGTATAACATTGTTGGTGTCTCTTGGACTACTATTTGAACGGAAACAGTTTGACCTTTTGACTAGCTTCAAACATTTCCCTGTTTGGTTTGTTTATTAGGCACTGTTAATGCAGCCGTTAAATAGTTCAACTGAGAATATAAAATCTTCTCTTGCTGCTACTGATAAAATTGCAAGCATTAAACATAAAAGGACCGGGTGAAGGTTCTCTCAGGACTTTTGATTGGTGCCAAGACCCGGATTACTTGTGCCAAAAATAACCTCCGTACTATATACTTATTTCTTGTAAATATAATACTTACAGTACGGTATACTGTACTTATCGCTGGAGTTGGGCGGAATCCTTGTACCTCCAGAATCATTTTTTAGGAGACCCCAAAAACGTGTGTGGACTAACTACTATATATAGTAGTACAGATTTGTGGAAAAAAGAGATTATTTACCAAAACGTGACAATCCGGGCCAATGTCAGCTTTGTGTACTTTCAAGCACTCTGATCAGGACCTATTAATTGACAGCTATCACTCGCAAAATCTTTGTTTCGTTCAGTACTCACAAATTCACGTTCTTACGTTTGGAACCATTCCGCAGCTCTTCGGTGAAAAACAGACCTATCTACAGTTTTGTGCTACTGTTTGAAAGTCACTGAGATGCCACAAGATGGTGCCTAAGCATTGTCGGAAAAGGAAAGAAGTACCATACATTGTTACGTTTTGAGTTTGTGTGGTGGCGTAACAAAGACAAAAGGCGGAAAACCGATTCCACAAAAATGTGCGTTGATTTTTTTAAAGTTGCAACTTTCAAATTGTTGCACAGCATGTATTTGTTCATGAACCCAAAAAAGAAGACCACACAGAGAGGGTGGATTGACAAAAGGAAAAAAAAAATTACATATAATCTTTATTTGGTTTAAAAAAAAACCAGTTACGACAGTTTGGATGCATTCTTTTTTTTTTTTTTCTTAGTGTAGTGCCGTGGTATGGCATTGGGACTCTGTATTCATTGACAGATGCATCATTAAATTGTCATAAGGACATCCTTTGTTTCAACCATTCATTTAGGCAACTATAAATATTTTTAGGGGACGTCATCTACTTACCCAGAAACACACATCAGCCCTGTGTTACACCGTGCAACAAGTACGAACGTATGAAGAGTAGCTTGGCCGGAGCGCTTATTTTTTAATTTCCTCATTAGATGTGGCGTTGACAAGAGTCAACAATAAAATAACGCAGAAAATAGAAACGTCAAATGTGAAGGGATTACATGTTCCCTTCCCGTTGTAACACAAGTCACAATTGCATCAATTAACTTCAAATATAAACCTTGTAGTCATTGCACCGGACTAAACCCCGGCCATTATTCGTGGCGATACAGTATGTAAAAATTTCAGCTCTAAATGCTGGTTAGACTTTGCCAGCTTTCCCAGATGGGGTATGACTTTACTCAGAAATGATTGCAGTGGGAATAAGTCCCGTTATTAAATAATAAGCCCTCTACTTGAGCTAAGAGCCTCTGCAGTCTGTCATTTGAGGTAGGGCTTTGCTAACTATAGCTGCCCTGATGTCCCGACGGACGGAAGAAAATCCCGCGGCGGCGAGGGAAGGCGAACGGCAGAAAGTATATCTTCACGGCTGCTGGAAACTTGCTTTTTTGCTCACTCATCCATGAGCGGGAGGGACGACGTTATTTCTGTTGGGCCGGAAAATGCGTCCGTACTGTACTCTAGCGCGCAAGCGCCCGGACGGTGGTTGGTATATACAGGAAACCACCGAAAGCTAACATTTATTCCTGTAAAAAAAAACGAGGACGTTTTGCTCCACCTGCCTCGAAAATCACCAAAAGCGGGGCGGTCAGAGAAAAATAACCAGTGATTTCGACGTCCACCGCTATCCTTATAAACTGTCTGACCCCCCCCTTGTTTTGTGCGCGTGTGTTTGTCTGTGTCAGGGAGAGATTAGACGGCGTGTGAGTCACAGTAAGACTGTCGGCGATTGGTCAGGAAGTGGTCATGTTATTATCTTTAATTGAGGGGTAATTGTAGCGCTGAGTGTGCCGTACTGTACGCGCCAGTGTGTATGTGTATCTTTCGACGTGTCCGTGTTTGTGTTTCGGTGTGCGGGGGGGTGGGATTAGATTGAGTTTGGGCTTGCTTTGATTAAAAACAAAACAGAGTCAACAGTGGGTTTTTAGCGGGCGGCGGTTTGAATGGCGGCTGTCCATCGATGCGTGCGGCGAAAGGAGCGCAAGCCTTCCATCAGCAACTCATGCGCGAAAGCGGCAAACTCACAAGGGTCGTCTTCTCGGTGGTTTTTAACGTCAACGCGATTTGACCACCCTTGAATGATTACTTCTTTGTTGGGCAAGCATCAAAGTT